GGCGAAGGCGGGTTGCTAAGCTCCTGAAAATGGCCACGCAGTCGACGATGTCAGAGCCGGAAAGCTTGGGGTGGGCGCCGTCTGAGATCGCGGTTGCACGGCCTGTCTGGGTGACCTTTGCCAGCGAGCAGGGAATCAGAATGCCTATCCCTGCAGCTGCTAGCCGGATCCCTTGGGTCGGATAAGGCATCCTCGTCCAAATTATTTTTGGCATTCTGGTGAACACTGCACTCAAGCAGGAGCCTGTTCATACTCAGGAGTGGGGGCACTATCCTGTTCTGGTTTCTGTGTAAACAGTTGGTGTGGCTGAGACCACACTGTCCTGAACGGAATGGCAAAAGATCGCTGCAGTCCACCGTGTGAGTGTCAGCTTAACTCCACTCAGAATTCAGTCGGTTTCGCAGGATGCAATGCGATATCCACCGCTGTACGACCTGTCTGCTCTGGAACAGCAGCAAGGCATCTACACGCCTCCCGACTGCACCAATAAACGCACCCGACACGCATACACGCAATCATTGAGTTATGGTTGTTGCTTGGTCGGGTTGTTTGTCGTTACCCGATTCCATTGCCGAAGTGCCGAGCGTGACAGGTTCAACTCCTTGCAACGGAAGTTGTACCGTCTGGCACCTGGCATTCTTCGGCACAGGCTTCCATGCCGATAAGACGGCGCAGTAGCCAGGCTCGACAGCAACCATGGCGAGCCTGCTGCGTGGATGCACCATATTGCAGTGTGCACACTCTTCGGAGGGCTTCTGGGGTCGCTGCGCCACGTCATCTGGCATCTGGTTCAGTTTGTTTGAGGCCAATGTTCCTACTTCCAGGCTCTGGTCACGAGCGAGGCGGATTCTTCGGAGTGCTCGTGATTGTCTCTGCGGAAATGTGACAGGCAGAGAGCAAACGCAACAGGAGGCCAAGCGGGGAGAGAGCATTGTTTGTCGAGGGTTTCCGAAGGACTGCATCTGGCAGGTGCCAGTTGTTCCCATTTCCAAGCCGCCTGATAAATGGATGCGCCACCAAGGTGGAAATCGTCGCTTGTTCTCAGCATGCATGCTGCCTGCACAGTTCACACAGGATCTGGTGGACTGCAGCCTCCGGCGGGCGACAGGATCGCTTTGCCACAAATTGTCGCAATTCGAATCCAAGCACAGCACTTCGAAGTAGGACTGTCGACCAGAGTGGTGACGGTTGTGACCGGGAAGGCCACCGCTGCTGACATGCATTACTTCGAAGATGTTGGTAGAGGCTTGAGAAGATCCGTCAGGCAACACGGCGGCTGCCAAGGTCAGGATCCTGACTTTAAAAATGTGTCCTTGTGCAGCCGCTGGCTGTCGGCCGAAGGCTGCGATGCAGCTCACGGCGCTTGAGGCTGCCGGAAGTCAGAAGCATTTCGATTCTACGGGTCTTGACACGCTTGGAAATCAGCCAGCTGGCTGACGTTGACACTCGCGAAGTTGCAGTTGAGCGATGCAAACCTCCAGCTTTGGAGCCGAAGTGGTCAGGACCGACTTCAAGATGCAGTGTGCAGCATGAGGCAGCGGACCAGGCCTGCTTCCAAGTCGCGCCCAGTCTGGACTTCCTATATTTTCATATGGTTCACGATCCGTAGGACCTAGAAGTGACCGCAAGGCTGCGTCGTGGTCACGAACTTGTGTGCAATCGCTCGGCAACAAGCGAGTTCCAGGCTTGACTCTGGCAGATCCTCAATGCACCACTGCTCGTGTGCTGGTCACAACACCCTTATGTTATGACATGGCCCTGTCAGTTTTGCTTGCTTTGGTGTCATGTCTCATCCAGCACCCTCTCTGGCTTGACCTGCCTGACAACTGACAAAAAAATTCAAGCAAACACTGTATCTTCGACGTCTCACTCACTGTCTTTTGCTCTTGGATGTTCTTTTAAGTCATTTTCGGTGGGATCTCTCATCGACTTGATACAGCTCCCCAGCAGCTGAGCCGGATGCTTCAAATCCAAGATCCGCGTGGCCAGGAAACCACTCTGGCGAATGCCGTGACCTTCCTTACTCCGCCAATCCATCCCGTGGCCTTTGGCCGAGACTCTGAGCCTCTTTCCGGTTCCAACCTGGTGATCCGAGTCAGGAAATGTCACGCTGGTCTACCCTGACTGACATGGTCAGCCTCAGAAAGACGACGAAGGCAGCTGTTGGCTGTCTACGCAGCTGTACAGTCAGCTCGTCAGCATGCCAGGCCCGGCACGCAAGCAAGATCGATGCGATGAGCCTTCCCGGAGACGCTGCCATCCCCCTAACAGCTACTTTCCGCGCGTGACAAGCATTCTAGCGGTGAGACTTGTTAGATACTGAGGTTCTCGAAGAACCCAAGCCTTTGGGAGGACTGGAAGGGCTCCGGTGCCATGCTTGCTCAATCAAATTCAGTTGTTGGGAGGCCCAGCTCAGCAGTCTGAAGAGTTGAAGAGGGAGAACAAGGACACCTGCTGCTGTCAAGACACATTCTGCTAAAAGATGCGCGGGAGACTGGAAAAGACAAAACCATGTCAACAGGATCAGCATGAGCCCATCAGGTCAGCGCATGGGCCACATCCCCACCCCGAAAGAATCCATGGCGGAGATGGGGAAAGGAAAGGTCCCATTGCTACGGTCGTCTCTATCCTTCCATCACAGGCCCGGAAATGCACAGATCACATGGGCAATTAGATGGCGGGCACGGCCGACAAACGTGTGGCTTGACTGCCGTTTCATGTGTTCTACATTCAGGCCTCTACGATTCCCCTGGGCTTTTGCAACAAGAGCTTCCGCTTCTCCTCCGGACTGAGGGCTGCAATACCACTGCATCAAATTGACATCTGTCCAGAGAGCATGACAACGATAGCCTCGCTCTTTGGCTGCGATGTGAACGTCTGGCTTCCTAGCCTAGCGACTCTCGGGCTACGGAGGGCACACGCACACTCAAGTTCCCGAGCCTGGGCCAGCTGCCAGCTGCGCCGACAGCTCCAAAGAGAGAGTTGTGAATTTTGTGTGCGGTTTTTTGTGTCTGAAAGTTTCCACCATCCAACAGCAACAGCATTGCATCATCGAGAAGCGCAGTTGGGACATGGAGCCTTCGCTGTTTGTGTCTAGGCTCGCTTGTCAGGTTCGGTTGTTCCTTCGGGCCTCCAAACTCTTCACATGTTGATCAGAGTGGCACCGGCCGTTCTTGATGCTGATCGCAGCAACCACTCAGATGATGCAAAAACTGCGTGCCTCGCTGCATGCTTCCGTCGCAATTGCCGTTGCAGGAGCGGCTTGAGGAGCCTCCACCGTCCAGTGAAGCTGACCAGGCCGATGCAAGCTCTCAGCGAGTGCTGCACAGCAATAGTCGTTTGTAAATACTAGTATCTAAATCTACACTCTGCAGCAGCTAGGTTGAGACGTTTGCATGCCGCTTTGCAAGGCCTGTGACCCGGTTTTTGAGGAGGCCGGGCCTTGTGTCAGCCGGGCTCCACTTCTTAGACGAAGTCTGTCAAGCCAGTGGCATGCTCGCCTAACACAGCAGGAGGAGGAAGCAAGCGTCGCACCAGATGTCAGCTACGACAAGCTCACCATGGACCGTCTAGCCCTAGGCCCTAGAAGCAGCAAGCGGATTGAACGCGTCTTCTGCGAATCTGGATGTGCGGCCGCCGATTTGCCAGAATTTCGCTTTTGCCTGTCGGACGTGGTGTCTCACAGCGTTAGAGCCTTAGGATATCGAATCTGTCGGGACATGCAACAGCAGGGGGCCTTCCCTGGCAAACAGAATGGGAAGCCATTCTGTGTACTTGCTGTTCGGTATAGTAAGGGGCTCCGGAACTGATAGTGACATCCCAGTCCCTCTTCGTCGCGTTGCAGAATGGCATGGGGCTAAGCAGATGAGAATCAAAGCAGCTTTCAGCTGACCTTTGTGTGCGCGGGGCGTTTTGTTTGTGTGTGGTTGTTTGCTTGTTTGTTTATGTGCGTGCGTGCGTGCGTGCGTG